AGTTTTTCACTCATTCGGGTTTCTCGCTAAATTACAAAACCACGATAGAAAATCAACGAGTGATGTGACGTGCGGTTCCTTTGTCTGTTTACCAGTCAAGAAGTCATGACAGGCTGCTGAAGCAGCGGTTTGATCAAACGGAGGATTATTAAATTTAACTGTCTAAATATTAAAATAAATTAAATTAAAATATTTGTACTGATTCCATTCAAGTGCTGATAGCCCGGCGAAGCAATCTCTTTACATCTTAGCAGGATTAGCAGCTACTTCCTTCCTTCTAGTGATAATCTTTTAGCTGCTACATGATTATATGCACAACATTCAGGAATTACACTGAAAAATAGCCAGCAGTAAAAGAATGCTATCGCAGTTGCTACTATTGCAACCTCCGCAATCGAATCCCGTCGTCGCTTTCCGGTTGCTATCCAGAAGATCACCTGGGATATGAATGAAACAGCATACTGAGGCGAACAGTTCAACGCCGTCATCCAACGTTCACACAAAAGTTCTACTGTCGGTTCAGGACGACTGCTGATCATAGCAGTCTCAAAAAGGAGGACACAGGATCATAGCTCGTCATGTTAATCAAATGAAGGATACAGAAATTTTTCCTTTGTTCCGTTTAACGTCTGTAGCGAGGATAAAAACTCATGACAACTGTTGTAGGCAATTTATGAAACTAAGTACCTGTCATGTAAATGCATTGTTTACAGTGATGTAACAAAGATCAATAGTCACAATATTATCCTTGAAAATATCAAGGCATGGAATATATTGGTGGAAAATATTGTCAAGGAGTTCATTAAGGCGGATAAAAGATATCCAGTATAAAAGCTGAAATTGAAGCGTTGTAGACGGGATAATAAACGGCAAGAATTAGGAGCTAGCTTATTCCTAACGGGATGGTAGATGTCTGATGAACAAATCGCGGCGAGTCGTTAATAAACTAAGGAATCTTTTGACAAAAAGCTATAGTAAAACTAAAATTATGAATGTTCATTACCTCATATGCGATATTCAATCAGATGTTGTCGATGGTGGTATCGAGGGCAAAAAACTAGGCACCAAAATGGAAATTTGAAAAATTACAAACGTTGAAAAAACAAAGATTGAATACTATACAACTACACTTAATACTTTGACATCGAATAACGTTTGCAGATTGAATTAGTGTATAATTAATTGTCGTTAGCAATAATAACTGCTGCTTAACTTAGGCGATCATTTTAATTTTCCTTGTGTCTACGAACACTCGATTGCTGACTGACCGATGCGGGCCAGAAGTGAAATGAAAGCCAGAATGAAGTGCTCAATTTTTAGTTCGTTTAAACATTACTTTTTCTTGATGCCTTCAGTGAATTTCAAAATATCATGGCAGTCACCAGCACTCCAAATGTACGGTTATTAACTTCGATTTTCACAGCAGTGTCTTACCATATATGTTCCATTCTCTCCGTATATTTAGCCAATTATAATCATTCCATAATTATTATCGTTTTTTCACCAAAATGGAAAATAAACCGAGTTCGCAACCGACGGAAGGCCGGTCTGTGTTGCGTTTTCGTGATTTGGTCATTTCTTGCGTTCTCCTTTTCATGAAGATCACGGTGGAACGCTGATATCAATTACTATGTCATGCATCGAGACTAATGAAGGCAAGGTCTACAGCAGATATGTGACTAGCATCGTGCATAGTCTCCTGATTCCTTCCCAGGGAGTAGTACTCATATACTGACACTTATCAATTTAAGAAGAAATGAAGGCGAATGACCTGGTCGGAAATCGAACCTGGGATTTGTCGGTTTCGAGTCCGAAGCTTTACTGAGTCTGAGTGGGCAACCGCGGTAACTTTTAATGAGGAATCGTTTAAAACCATTTGTAGAACAAACGACATCATCGAAAAATTCGTTTATTGCCTGAAAAATGCCACCAGAACCGTTTTAATAAAGGCAATGTGTTCAGTGCATATCTTCGATTATGCCTTTCTTACTTTCGCAAACAGGGTGCGGTATCTGCCTTTGGCCTTCGCGCGTTGGCGTCTGTGAAGCAAACGCAGATCAAAAGGTATATAGGCGTATGGCTCAAGATTGGCACTGCGCACAGCCTTCTTCTTTTTCGGTTTCTCTGCAAAGCGCACACCTTTCGACGATTTTCCGGCGGAAAACCTCGCCTTACGACGATTAACGTCGAGTGATTTCGATTCGTCCACGTCACTAAGCTCTTCAACATCCTCGAATTCAGACATCTTCATTGTTTTGTTGCCAAATTCTGCTTGCACTTCGTCAACACGCCTAACTCGTTTTCTGTTGCCTTTCTTCAAATCTTCAGTCGAAATTATTATACGACCATCAGGCGCCGTTTTGAACTCAGAAGCACGTTGCTTTTCCGCATGCCGAGATGCCCTTTCCCTTGCATTTGGGTCAGTAACTGTTATGTGCTTAATGAAACGGGGGTCGAGGAGGTTCAGGACTTCGTCTTCGTTGTCTTCTCGAATCCACGTCGATTTGGATGTCGCCTGGCTAAAACGACTTTTTGCGGACTTGGTTTCTTCAAGCTCAGAATCTGAAAACTCCGTGTCAGAGTCTCTCAGCAGGTTTTCCACTGAGTCCGCTAGCGACTCTGCCATGCCTGAAGATATCTCTGCGATAGCACGTTTCTTTTCGCCAGAACTCGACAACAGTTTCACGCGTTGCTCCCTGGTCAATCTTTTCTTAATGTACCTTAATCTCGCCTGCTCTGAATCAGGAACGTACCTGTTGATTACCTCATAACTGAACTTCCTCGTCAATTTCAATAGCAACATCCTCGTAAGGAAGCGGAAGTGACGTGCACAGTCGCTCAGCTGACAGAAAATGGCCGGAACTATGATTTCAAGGTACTGATTAACGGTGATGTTTGACAAACGACTGACGAACGTCTTCAGAAAGCGTAGGCAAGCCTGTACAACGACTCTACTGATGTTCGACAACTGCGGACAAACCGCAGACAAGAACTGACTGAGTATGTCAGACGGAATATCATTACGGTATTCATAGATCAGCAAACGAAGAGTCGAGATGATCGCAGCAACGTGCTGCTCGTCATGTGACTTCATTGGCAATAAAATGCAAACCACCGGTTCAAAGCTTCCCTTATTTTTGAACAGTTCATCAGTTGCACGAAGCAACAGTTCGGCAGATCGTTTCTTCACCTTTTGGCTATCAGCGTTTACGGCTGCGGTGGCTCGGAGCACCATACTTTTACAGAAGTCGTCATCCCTGATGGGCATAGTATTCAACAGCTTCAAAAAGCAGTGGTAGCAGGACCCAACAGCAGCCTTGGGAATCTTTTCAACGTCAATGTTTAGCAATGCATTCAATAGCTGTTGGCGGTGTTCAGTGAAGAACTGCTTACAGGCATCTGTCTCAGCAAAGCATAACGCCTCGAAAGCACGAACCAGCTTTTTGCGCATAGCTTTGGGGGACGTAGAGGCGTCAACAACCATCAGAAACTCAAACAAAGTACTTAAACTATCATAGTCAAAGCATGGAATGAGAACAATCATCGCATTCATTATGCGTGCTCTGGATAACGACGTAAGCTTTGTGTCCTTCACCTGACCGATACCGATCGTGAAGAACTCTT